TTTTCGTATTTTTGGTTTAGAAGTTTGTGCTGTGTGTTTCATGGATGTGAACGTTTAACGGCGTGCTTGACAGGACTTTTTACCCATGTCTGCATATCCATATGAATCGATCGTGCCTAATTATTCTAATTTAGCCAACGAAGACGGCTCTGTGGGGAGGTGAGATTTGGACGTATTTTGCATCTTGTATGGTCAACCTTTAGATATTCTTCCGAAGTTTCGCGTGCCGGTGGAATTGATGTTCCAAGTCAGCCGGGTCGAAGTTCCCTATCGGAAGATCCTCACTACTTGTTAGAAGCGGATCGAATGGCGCCGCGGATGTTGACCGAGGTGCGGGTAGGTTACTCACCATCCTGCGCAAGTTCGATCCCTGGTGGGCGCTTTTTTCCCTAATATTCGAAATAATGCATGCCGCGATGATGAATGTGATTTTCTTCTTAGGGTGTGGACGAACCTCAATGGGTAGGGGAACAGTCACAAGATTTAGCGTATAACTTTTTAAGGCTGGTTACTCTAGGTAGTGAGTTCTTAATTTTGTGGCGCGCGCGGTAATTTCCTATCCTCTTTAGCTACTACCGAAGGTCGGCTGGATGCTACTCCTCCAATGGTAGGATGACGTGTCTGGCGGTTGTCATTGTTGGGTTCTTCAGGACGTCAGACATGGCGCCGCTCCGCTCTTGTGTGACCCGATTTTGAGTAAGTTTTGCAGTGTTGGAGGAGTATATGTTCGCTTTTCTAAGCTGAGCAGACAGAAATTAATGAGAACTTCCTCGCAGAATTTTCGTATTGTTATCAACACATGTAGCTGACCATGTGCATATTTTTCTCCCCACCCGATTCGTTCGCTCAGGGGATCCACCGCCAATACGACGAGACTTAACCTCCTCAGAGCTTGGCAGCCGACCGAATTCGGAAGGATCAAGAGAAGTGATAGGAGGCCTCTGTGATGATGGTATATGATGATGGAATTCAGATCGCTACTGTGGCACCACCGGGATGTCATAGAACTCTAACACTTGGCATGAGGGCACAAGCGGTGGATTTGGATGATCTCGCAAACTTGCGGGAAGATCGGACGACGTTGATGATGAAGAGGGTGCCTCGAAAGTAGGAAACATGGTGTAGTGGTTAGAGGTCGTGGTTGGTAATCGGAAGGTCGTGGGTTCTATCTCTGTAAAGAATCTTTTTAAGTATTAATGATCGAATACTTCAAGTATTGAGTTATCGAATTCTATAACCGAAGTCGTTCTCAAGTAGGTCGTCAGTCTTGCTTCTGAAATTATGAAGGATTTAGATATTCAAACTTCAACGCCCAGTTTATGCCCGATTATCGTTTCGATATTATGTTGTATTTCTATTCATTCAGATATTCATTGGCGCTTCTTCGCGAGGAAATTGCATCTTTCCCAGGCCTCAGTGACAGCTACGATTTGCTGTAATAAAAATGCCCGCCCCTGGATTCGATCCGGGGACCTTTCGCATGACAGGTATCTACCAGCCGATGTGTCCAAGAATGCGAATAGAGGCTATGCATTTATCAATTTGAAATCTATTAGTCACGTATACATCTTTGCAAGCATGCTACAGGTGAGTAGCAACTGTCACACCTGGGGCGCGCGCTTTTCGTCGCATTCCCGCGGAAT